GGTGATCAAGTCCAACCCTCAACCCTGCCCAGGCCCATCCCCAAGAGTCACAACCTGTGTCCCAGAGGATCATCCAAACTGTCCTGGAGCTCTGTCAGCCTTGGGGCTGTGCCCACTGCCCTGGGGAGCCTGTTCAGTGCCAACCACCCTGGGGGGGAAGAACATCTTTCTAACATCCAACCTGACCCTGCCCTGACACAGCTCCAGGCCGTTCCCTGGGTGCTGTCCCTGGTCCCCCCAGAGCAGAGCTCAGGGCCTGCCCCTCCTCTGCCCCTCCTGAGGAAGTTGGAACTGCCATGAGGTCTCCCCTCAGTCTCCTCTTGTCCAGCTGAACACAGCAAGTGCCCTCAGCTACTCCTCCTTTGGCTTCCCCTGCAGAGCCTTCCCCATCCTGGTGGCCTCCTTTGGACACTCTCTACTGGCTCAATCTCTTCCTTCCCTTGTGTCCCCCCAGAGTGCCCCACTATTGAGGTGAGGCCACCCCAGGGCAGAGCAGAGCAGGACAATCCCCTCCCTGGCCCGACCGGCCATGCTGGGCCTGATGCCCCCAGGACAGGGTGATGCCCTGGCCTGGGGTGTTTGAGGAGCCCCCCGGGTGCCCAGTCCAGCTGAGGGCCGGGGCAGGAGGAGAGGCCGCTGGTGGGACGGCGCCGGGCTCCCCAGCACTGTGCCAAGGCAGCCGCCTCCAGCCCAGGCCTCCTCCTGCCGCCGCCCTCAGCTGCAGCAGCGGCAGCCTCAGGGCAGCCGGGCCGGGCCTGGTCCCTGGGTGGGGCCGGGCCGTGCTGACCCTGCAGCCCCTGGAGCTGCAGGAGCCCCGGGAGCCATGGGGGGCACAGGGCCAAGGGCCGCAGCGGGGCAGGGCCTGTGCTGGGGGTCCCTGGCAGCTGGGCAGCCCGGCCAGCAGCAGCGCAGCCCGTGGCCAGCGCCGGCGGGGCAGGAGCTTCCGGGGCTGCGGCGGCTGGCGGGACTGGAGCCCCAGCGGCACGCCAAGGAGCCGGCAGTGCCGAGCACGGAGGGACACGGGGAGGGCCTGGGCCCAGGAGGCTCCCTCTGCGCCGCAGCGCTGCAGCCCCGGCATCTAATCAGCCCTGGGCCAGCAGTCGCTGCTGGCGGGGCCCGGCAGGCCTTGGCTGGGGGGAACCGGGCGGCCTCTGCGCGTCCCCTGCTCTCCTTTCAGCCCCCCCAGGGCAAACCATCTCCTACCCTGCGCCGGCCACACCAGAGCAGCCCAGGGATGCCCCGGGCCAGAAGGAGCAGGTGCTGGTGGGGCTGGAAGCCCCTGGTCCCGGCCAGCAGCCGGTGGGGGCAGCAGGGCAGGCAGGCCTGGCAGTGCCACAGAACCAACCATCCCTGCCCAGTGCTCAGCAGCAGCACACAGGGCACTGCCCACCCTGTGCGCCCCTTGTGCCACAACAGGAGCCCAGCTGGGCCCTACTGTGTCCAGCAGCAAACCCAGACACACCCCCTGGCACAGGGGGCAGCTTCAGATGCTCCTCCATGTGCCCAGCAGGGCCCAGGAACGGAGACCCCAGCACAAGAGGAGGCACATTGAGCTGCTCCTGAGCCACCAGAGCCCCAGAGCCCCTGTGCTCTTCCAGACCTTCAGAGCTCCCTCTTGCCCTGCACAGAATCATCCTGGGCAGCTGCCCTGGAGCAGTCCAGGGCTGCTCCCTGAGATCTGAGCTCCCTTCAGCAGCTGGGAAGAGGCTCTGGGAGATGCCGGGCAGGAGTCTCAGGTAGATCCTGGAAGATGCAGGAGCCACAAAAATGGAAAACTCACCTTGTGTACCTGCCTCGGAGGAGTTTGGGACTGCTAACTGGCATCTCATGTCCCCTGTGGAGGTGTGAAAAAACTCCAGCAGATGCCTGGCAGGAGTCTCAGGTAGACCTTGGAAGATCCAGGAACTAGAAAAAGGAAAAAAGCATCCCCAACACAGTCTGGGGCTGCCCCCTGGGATTTCAGGTCCCCAGATCAGAGGTGAAGACCCCTGGCAATGTTTGAGAAGGCTCCAACTGGATCCCAGAGGATGCATTTTCCTTCCAAAGAGAAAAATCATCTTCGGTACCTGCGTTGGAGCTTCTACGCAGGAGATCAAGTGCCTGAATCAGAGGTGAAAAGACTCTGGGAGATGCCAGGAGTCTCCAGTGGATCCCAGAATAAAGAGCTACTTCCAAACAAGCAAAATCATGTTGGGAAGCTTCCCTGGAGGAATCTGGGGTTGCTTCCTGGGAACTCAACTTCCTCAAGGAGATGTGAAGACTCTTGGACACACCTGGGTTGAGTCTTTGGTGGATTCCACAGCAAAAATGTACCTGGAATGGTGTAAGGGGGGTACTTTTGATTTGGATGATCAATGGAGCATAGAGGCGTGAGAAAGGAATCATATTAGGATGTGAAACCAGTTAGAGTATGGTACAATGTAACTTCATGGCACAAGCTAATTGGAAGGTCCATTGTGCTTTTTAGCAAGTCAGCTTGATATCCCCTATTATCAGAGCTGAGTTCTTCCTTGGTTTTGCTACATATTGCAAGATGGATACATCTACCCTTGAAACACAATGGTAGAGGTCATACATAGGGGTGAGAAAGATGATGATGGGAGGAAGATGATGTGGGCAGGGGTCGCTCGCCCCTTGCCCTACAAGTAGGGCATGCGCAGACTGTTGCCATTAGGTAATGATTAGGCGGGGTTTGGCTGCCATTCAGGCATCACCTTATACTACATACTGGCCCTACGTAGTGTAATGTGGAACTGATAAAAATGGGGTGTCTGGTCTGCTGAGTTGAGCGATCCTCATCCTACCACCGAGACTGTTGCTCCGTGGGGACGCCCGCTGAGCACGGGCACCGCCCAGCTGCTGCAGATCCTGACAGCCCTGACCTGTCTGTGTGGGTAAGCACAGTTTATTGATAGGAAGCAACTGAGAGAACAAACTTTTTAATATCACTTTAGTTTCCCTTTAATTCCTCTTTTATGTTCACAATATTTCCCTTTAATTTCCCTTTTTGCTAACCAATATTGTGTTAATAGTTATCCATAATATTGTGTTAAGATCCCTTTTTTGGTATCCCTTTAACCCCCTTTTTCACTAGTTAATACTGTATTAAATGCTGTTCGTAGTATTTGTTTTAATGTCACCCGATAAGGTAGTTATATTGTATCCTTTTTTTTTAGTTTTTGATTCCTCTTGCTAAGTTTATTACTATTATTATTATTCTTACTGTAATAAAAGATATTTTGTGTGTTTGAATATTTCTGGCACTTGTCTTTATTCTGAACATGTATCCAAGTGAACTGTTACAAATGGATAAAAAAACCTATTGGAAAGCTTCCTTGGAAGATTCTGGGCCTGCGGTGAGCAAGTCAGGTCCCAAAATCAGAGATGAAAAGGCTGCAGGAGAATCCCGGGAGGAGTCTCGGGTGAATTCAAGAGCATGCAGTTTCCTGCCAAAGGGGAAAAAGTCATCTGGGGCAGCTTCCCTGGAGGAGTCTGGGGCTGCTCCCTGGGATCTCAGCTCCTTCGAGGAGATGTGAAAATTCTTAGGGAGATGCCTGGGAGGAGTCTCAGGTAGATCCTGGAAAATTCCGGATGCACAAAAAAAGAAAAATCACCTTCTACCCACCATGGAGGAGTCCAGGGCCACTAGCCAGGATTTCAGATCCCCAAATCAGAGAGATCTGGGACCAGGCAATGTTTGGGAAGGCTCCATCTGGATCCCAGAGGATGCTTTTTCCTTCCAAAGAGAAAAATGACCTCAGGTACCTGCGTTGGAGGAGTCTGGGCTGCTCCCTGGGATTTGCTGTCCCAGTGTTACTGACCCTCCCTGTGGGAGCTGCAGCACTGGTGGAGGGGGCAGAGCAACTGCCATTGTTTGCCTGGACTTGTGCCAAGGTTTGAGAGTGTCCCACATGGCATCCTTGTCTCCGAACTGGGGAGCCATGGCTTGGATGGATGGAGCACTGGGGGGATGCAGAACTGGCTGGATCCTGCCCACAGAGAGTTGTGGTCAAGGGCTCCTTGTCCCTGGGGAGAGCAGTGAGCAGTGGGGTCCCTGAGGGGTGGGTGCTGGGGCTGATCCTGTCCAACAGCTTTGCGGGGACAGGACCAGTGGGATCGAGGCCCCCTCAGCACGGTCAGGGATGCCCCCGAGCTGGGTGGTGCAGTCCCGTGCTGCAGGGAAGGGATGGATCCAGAGGGACCTGGACAGGCTGGACAGGTGGGACCATGGGAACCTGCTGAGGGTCAACAAAGCCAAGTGCAAGGTCCTCCAGCCCAGTCAGGGCAGTGCCAGACACAGCGACAGGTTGGGTGGAGAAGGGATTGAGCAGCCTGGGAGAAGGACTTGGGGGGGAGGGTTGATGCCAAACTCCCCTTGAGCCGGCAGTGGGGGCTCCCAGCCTGGAAAGACACCGGGATCCTGGGCTGCATCCAAAGGAGTGTGGCCAGCAGGTCGAAGGAGGGGATTCTTCCCCTCCCCTCTCTTCTTGTGAGACCCCACCTGGAGCCCTGAGCACAGTTCTGGGGTCCCCAAAGCAAGAAGGACATGGAACTGTTGGAACAAGTGCAGAGGAGGCCACAAAGTTGCTAAGACGACTGGAGCACCTCCCCTGTGGAGACAGGCTCAGAAAGTTGGGGCTGTTCAGCCTGGAGAGGAGAAGGTTGTGTGGAGACCTCCCAGCAGCTTCCAGTCTGTGAAGGGACCTCCAGGGAACCGCAGAGGGACTCGTTGTCACGAACTGTAGTGAGGAACTGTAGTGACAGGACAAGGGGGAATGGCCAAAATGGAAAGAGGGGAAATTTAGGCTGGATATGAGGAAGAAATTCTTTTCTGTGAGGGTGGTGAGACACTGGTGCAGGTTGCCCAGGCAGGCTGTGGATGCCCCAAGCCTGGCAGTGTTCAAGGCCATGTTGGATAATGCCTTGAGCAACCTGGTCTAGTGGGAGGTGTCCCTGCCCATGGCAGGGGAGGTTGGGCCTCCATGATCTTAAAGGTGCCTTCAAAGCCTTAACAGTCTATCATTCTCTGAAAATTGGGACAATTTCTGTCAGATCCTGTCAGCTGGGACCTATCAGGTTGCCAAGACTTTTCACAGGTCACTAAGAGAGGCCTCACGATGACTTCAGCCAGTGCTTTGAGTGTTCTTGGATGAATCCAGTCATATTCCATAGACTTATTGGGATATGCAGATGAAGCATCAGATCCCAGCCTAGTTCAGGGCTGGTTGAGAGTTTGTGATTCTCACAGTCATAGTCCTGCAGTTCAGGGCTCTGCCACCTCCAGAGCCCATTGCTGGTGTGAGGACCAAAGCAAAGAAAACCTTAAACATCTCTGTCTGTCTGTCTGTGCCTGTCTGTGAGGGGATCATCCTCATCCATTACTGGCCAATGTTATTTCTGCACTGCTTTTTGCTCTTGACCTACTTAAACCCCACTCTTGTACTGTCCCCCAGAGTCCTGTCCAGCTCCAACTGCAGCTGACCTTTGCCCACAAGAATTTTGTCCCTCAGTGTTGAGCAGCATCTCTGGAGTCCTCCCATGTCACCCGACAGTGGTGGTCTGAAAAATAAAAGCTAGACACGATCCCAGTATGGGGGAACTGGAATGGTTTATTGAACACGAGAACACTATTTTAAAGGCATCTTGGACTGGACATGTTAATGAGGAGGACGAGCTATGTTAATTAGGGAGTTACACAAGTTTTTACTACCGTTGCCCAATGGGTTAAATATTTCCCTTAACGAAGATTACATAGGGGGAAAAGGATTAAAGGGGTTTAGACATGGTCTGATACAATCATCTCAAGAGTTCTTTCTGATTTCTGCTGGAGCCAGGCTTAATCCATAAGGTAGAACTTTAACAGGTCTTGTGAGAAGGGTCTAGCTCCTTCAGATCACGAGGTTTTTGTCAGCCCTTGTTTTCCTTTGCTGAAAGCTGGGTTTGGGCTCCCACACCCGACCTTGCTTCCACTGGGCACACACCTTCTTTTTCTTCCTTAGCTCCAAGAGAAGATCCCTGCTCAGCCAAACCAATATTCTGCCTCTCCTGCTTGACTTCTGCCATTTAGGAATTACTGCTCCTGTGCCCGCAGGAGGTGGTGCTTAAAAAGTGACCAGCCCTGATGGACCCCAGCACCTGCAAAGGGTTTCCCTGGGGACGTTTCCCACCAGTTCCCTGAGCAGCCTGAAGCTGCTCTCCTCATGCCCGGGGTTGAAGTTTCCTTGGCTGTTTGCCTCCTGTAAAGAGAGATTTTAAACTCTGCTCCTTCATGGTGGCTGTGGCCAAGAAGGCCAAAAATGTCCACTCAGAATGACTCAGATGAATTCCTTTGCCCACATGCAGTGGCTGTTGCACTTCCCCCTTGTCTGTAAGAAAGGAGTCTTAGTCAACCCCTGCACCATCTGTGTGGAAATGTTGTCCCCAGCCCTCTCCAGGACCCCCCTGGGTTGCTCTGTGCCCAGCCCTGCTGCCCTCCCAGCAGAGTGTGGGGTGGCAATCCCTGTGTTCTTGGAGCCCTGGGAGCACGAGGTTTCCTCCAAGGCAAGGCTCTGTGCAGCTCAGCCTGCCCTTTGCCCAGAGCTCCTGGCCAGCTCCTGCCCTTCCTTCCTGCCTCCCTGAGGAGCTGTTGCCATCCAGGGCTGCCCTCCCAGCACTGAGCTGTCCCCCCAGGGTTGGGCAGTGTCTGGGGGGAGCCTGTTCCTGCCTGCTCAGCAGAGATGAGAGAGCTGGGGAGGGGACAGGAGAGGCAACACAGGGCAGGGCTGCCTTGAGTCAATCCTCTGCTGCTTTACAATCTCCTCTAAATTCTTTTGATTTCTTCAGGAACTTTGTTCAACTCAGCCAGGAGTCCGGCCCAGCTCAGCAGCACAGCAACAGCCCCAAGCATTGAATGAGCCTTGGGGGGTTGGTGCGGAATCCCTGAACATCAGACAAAGAGCAAGTTACAGAAACCTCTGAAGAATTCCGAGTCAGATCCAAGTCCACAGTTTCTCATGGCGTTAATGGGTCCCACTGAGGGCCAGCACTCAGAAATTGTCCCCTGCTTCCAGTTAGAGCTGAAAACTGGAGGCAGTGATGACAGGTGGGGACAAGCAAAGTCCCGGGGTCTATGATGCTGAATAAATCTGGATTTGTTTTGTTACTGCAAAGGGCCAAGGCCTGACCCCCAGCCCCTGGGAAGGGAGATCCTGTGCCTGCCTCATTCCTCAGGGCTCTTGCTGGGGCTGTGGGATGTGGGGATGTGCAATGCCAAGGGCAGGAGCATGGGGCAGCACCTCTGTCTCAGCTGAATGAGACTGAAGTGTTTTGGTGAGGATGAGTTATGAGGAAGACCAAATTCCTCCCTCTAAGGAATTGTAAATGCAAAATTAAGAGGCTCCAATTGAGGAAGTATGGAGAAAGAAAAAATAACAGCCCTTTATTAAAGGATATCTGTATATTGGTAGAACAAGAAAAGAACACAAACCCAACCAAACAATGATCCTGTAGCCAAAAATGCCCTTCCAAAGGAAAGAGTTTGGAACTTTCTGCCTTTTGTCGCAATTCCAATCATGACCAGCAGGGGGCGATGTTGGATGTGTGAGAGCAGCGGCTGCAGTGGTGGGTGTTGTCCAGCAGGGGGCGCTCTTGGGCCGCCAATGGAGATTCCCCCCCAGCGAGGAAGGGAAAAGGGGAAAAGGGAAAAGGGGAAACAGGGAAAAAGGGGCTCTTCCCACAAAACTCCCACTGTCTGCAGCTGGCTGTGTCCGGGAATTCCCCCTTTTGGCCGATGAACACACACCACTGCCAACACGGGAGTGGAGGAGGGAAAGGGCGACCTCCTCCCCAAAAGGTTCCTCTGTAGGGGGGTCAAATCTTTCCCATGAAGTCCGAGCAGGTCCGGGCTGGGGGCAGAACAGGGTGCAGGAAACGAAGGCAAACCAGCAGACAGCCAGATGAGCAGGCCGAGAACAAAACGACCTCGGAGCCTCTCCAACACACACCTTGCCTGAGCTAAGGCCAAAGTGAAGGGCCTTGCCTTTTTGCCCAGGAGAAAGTAAAAAACTCCACCCCACCCCCCCACAGCCTTCTGAGGGCTCCCAACCTGCAGTGTGGGCTGGGCCAGTTCTTTTGTGGGTGTGAGTCACCCAAGGCAAAGCACCCTCCCCCACTGAACATCTTTCTTTTCCAGTGGGGCGGGGGAAAGAAAAATTCCTGCTTGTTTTTTTAGAAGAAGTAAATCTATGACAGAGATCCCCTCCCCCCTGCCACTCACTGCCCCCCTATAACAGGGACTGGAGAGAACTGGGAAGCTTTACTGGGAACACTGGGAGGAGCCGGCTGGGGTCAGAATAAAAGCAGGGCCGGGGGGGACACACGACCCCCCAAACTCAGTGTGGGGATGGACTGGGGGATCTCGGCTGGGCCCGAGGCCACGGGGGGAGGGGTTGCAGCCGCCGGCGGCTCAGGAGCTCTGTGGGGAGAGAAAAGGGGGTGAGAGCGGGGTGGGGGGACAGGGGGGGCAGAGAGGCTGTGGGAGAGCAAGGGGGGGACACAACCCCCGGGGACCCCTCTTTACCTTCTCCCGCAGGTAGAAGCCGAGCCCCAGCACCAGGAAGACCAAGCCCAAGACAAAGCCCCCGACCCCCACCAGGATCTTGCTGCGGACGGTGTCTGGTGGCATCTCTGAGGGGAGCTGGGGGGGTCAGCACCCCCAAAAACCTCCAGAGACCACCCAGAACCCCATAGAGCCCATCCTAGTCTCTCCTAGCCCACCCAGCACCCCCTAAAACCTCTTCCCAGTCCCTTCCCAGCCCCTTTAGGGATCCCACAAAGTCCGTCCCAGTCCCTTTAGGACCCTTCAACCCCCCTCCCATCACCCCCAGAACTCCCCTGAACCCCTCCTAATCCCTTCCCAGCCCCCCATGACTTTCACATCCCCTCCTGCTCAACCCAAGCCCCCCCAGCCTCCCTACCCTCCCACCCAGGCTCCCCCAAACTCCCTCCCAGTTGCCTCCAGGGCTCCCCAAAGCCCCTCTCAGCCCTCCCAGGTGGGAGCTCAGTGGCACCAGCGGGGTGGAGATGTGAGGGGGGCACTGGGAGAGACTGAGATGGACTGGGATGGACTGGGAGGGGGCAAAAGGCCATGGGGTTGGGCACAGGGAGGGCTGAGGGGTCTGGTGTAATTCCCAGGGAGGGTTTGAGAGGCTCTAGGGTCATTCCCAGGGCAGGGGGCAAGGGGACCCGCTCTGCCCCACGCTCACCTCTGCGGTTCACAAGGAACGGGGTGGACACCTCATAGCTGGGCTGGCAGACCGTGTCCACCATTGCCCAATAGATCTCCACAAAGTCCTGGTCGCTGTTCCAGATCCTGGCCTGGATCTCCCCAAACGAGGTGTCTCCCACAAAGACCCCCACATCACTGTTGAAGTGCAGGATCTGCTCCCGGTTGTAGATTTGCCTGTGCACGTAACTCACCCGCTCAGTGCCATTGATGAAGTGACGCTTGTTCTTTACCACCTCCTGGAACACCTCTGTGTGTGCAGGACAGGGGTCAGGGGGTGCACCATCCTCCCCATCATCCCTGAGCCCCCCCCAGCAGGTTGGGAGCTCAGGGGGCCACCCCGAACCTCCCTTTCCCACCCCCCTCTGCCCCACAGCTGCCCCAGCACCGGCTCTTGGGTGAGGGGAACCCCCCCCATCAGCCCCCTGGGGATGGACAGGGGGGTTGGGGACCCCCCCACTGTGGATCCGCCCCCCCCTTCCCCCCAGAGCCCCAGGGAACCGCCCCAGGGCTCAAGGGACACCCAGGGCCCCCATGGCACCCCTGCCCCCAAATGGAGAACTGGAAATGTAAAAATAAAAAAGTCATCCCCCTCCATTAGTCAAGAAACGTTTAGACCTCTTTCCTAAAAGCATCCAGGACTCGGGTCACCCAGTTTTCTCTCTGACAAGGCTTTGCAGGGGCTGCTTGGGAAAGGGAAGGCCTGGGGCCCCAGGGCAGATGGGTGGGGCTGCACTCTGGGGGGGTTGGCCTTTGGCTCTTGGCTTCCAGGGGCCCCCAGGAGTCAGTGAGCCGGGCTGGGGACGAGGGGCAGGACTGGCTGGGATTGCCTGTGGGACCTGGCCCAGAAAATGGAAGTGTCCCCATGGGGACAGCTGGAAAGGGCCCAAGAAGGAAATGCTGCCCAAGCACAGGCTATGGCAGTGGGGAGTGTGCAGGGGGGAGGAGGCTGGGCCAGAGTAGGGCTGGGCAAGAACGACCAAGCCGCGGGTGGTTTCTCCCCCAGCCCCCAGGGCCCAGCTCCTGATGGGAGGGCCTTGGGCAGTGCCTGGGGCGACTGCAGGAACCTCCGAGGCAGCGGAAGGGCCGTGCTTTTGGCAGGTGGGTTGCCAGGCCCAGCTCTCTGCAAGAGAAGTTGAGGGCTCTGAGCCAGAGAGGGGATGAGAGCCGGGTCCAGGCTTGGGAATTGCCGGGAGGGGAAAGGGATGTCTAAGAACAAGTCCCTCAGGAGAGGGAAGCAGAGAGGCTGTGTTTTGCCCCCAACACTAGGGTTTGCAGGGCAGAGCAGAGAATATCCCCCCTGTGAGATTGTTCTGCATCCTTCCTTGCAGCTGTGACAGACACTTCTCTTCAAAGGTCATTCTGTGAGTGTCTTTTTGTTTTTTCCAGGTGGGATGCAAGCGGTGGGGTGGGCTTTGGGCACCGGAGGGATGACGAGCAAGGTGAGCATTTTCCTGCCAGTCTGAATCAGATGTTCCTTCTGGTGCTCTGTATCTTTGGTGAATCTAAGCACATCCCTTGGCATTTGTTTATTTTCCAGGTGGTTGGCAACCTGAGAAGCATCAGCAGAGTGGGAAGGAGGTCCCTGCAGTAAGAGGTCAGTGTCAAGGAAGCTGCGAGGGGAGCTTTGGGGAGAATGTTGCCCTCTGAGGGGATCCATCAGTGTGTGCCTTCCCTGGGGGATTTCTTTGCAGTGGCCGTGCCTATTGGCAGGGGAGCAGAGCCACAGGCCCAGGAGCCGAGCGACAAGGTCAAGTGCTCTTGTGCTGGCCTGGTGGGCAAGGGCAGGGGATTGCAGGGCTCAGCAATGAAGCATTTGCCTCTTCTCTTTGGAGGGGCCGTCCCGGTAGCCTTTGGAAAGAGATGAGCATTCCAGGTGAGTCGGGGAGGTAGCGAGGAGGAGCAGGGGCCCAGGGAACTTTTAGAAATGCCACAGAAGGTTTTCTTTCCCTCTTCCAGGTGTGCCATGCAGGGAGAGCCGCAGGCTGAGACTCTGGCCAGAGCCAGGGACTGGAGGACTGTTACAATCTGCTAAAATATTGCAGAAAGAATTTTTATATTCGAATGTTCCCTTGAGCAAAATTAAAACTCATACAAGTTAACTGTTGATGCCAAAACTGTTTTTATCAATTGCTAAGAGATGCGAAGAGAAAGAGAAAAAAATAAGAAAAGGTTATAAAATGCTAAGATTACTTTTTAGAAGCATAGAAAAAGATTACCACTGAACAATCTACCTTTTCGTCTGTACTGCTCTGTGGAGCGGGGAGGAGGGGGGGGGGGGGGGGGGGGGAGAAAGAAGCAGTTTTCGCCGGGTTTTTTTCTCTGGTTTTTGCCGCTTTGCATGTGATGTTATCTCTTTAGCTGCAGGGGGTCTTTAGTTCTCTGGAATGCAGCCAGGATGTGAGCTTCTCCGCAGCTCACGCCTCACACCGGGCGGCCCCAGGCCGGGCGAGGATGGAGGATCTCGGTGTAGCACGGAGGGTTCCGGTCCAATTCCAGACGGCAGAGGTTCAGTCTCTGGTGACGGGCTGGCAGTTTTATGGTGGCGGAAGAAAAGAAAAGGTGAGGGCGAGACAGAGACGAGATTTTTCAGCTGGTATAACCAAACTCTCTTTCTCACTCCTCTTTCCCTGCTTTTCCCAAATTTCTCTTCAGCTTTTATAGTGTTCAAAGGAGGTAGTCTATGGTGTTTTGGCACGTAGCCCTGTTCAGATGTTTGCAGAGATATGATAACTATGAACAATACCAGGATCTTTTGGCAGGAAAACTCCAGTGGGAAAACTTGGTGAGAACTTCTGGTGGAAAACTGACACAGAAGTTTTGGTAGGAAGTTTTTGACAGGCAGGAACAATGGTGAAACATAATTTTTGGCATTTGTATGTTATCTGTCTGTCACAAGGACCTTAGAGCACTTAGGAGATGGTGAGTGGTGGAATGGTTGGGCTTTGGCCGATGTGCTGCTAAAGTCCTGCATTGATTTTGGGAGCTGACAAAGAGAATAACCCAGTGACTGCAGGAACCTCTGAGCCAGCCAAAGGGACGGCGGATTGACAGGGCCAGCTCTCTGAAAGATAAGTTGAGGGCTCTGAGCCAGAGAGGGGATGAGAGCCGGGTACAGGCTTGGGAATTGCTGGGAGGGCTTTTGAAAGGAGTGTAGGGGAAAGGGATGTCTAAGAACAAGTCCCTTAGGAGAGGGAAGCAGAGAGGATGAGTTTTGACCCCAGCACAAAGGTGTGCAGGGCAGAGCAGAGAATATGCCCACAGAAGATTCTTGTGGGTCCATCTTTACAGTTCTGACAGGCACTTCTTGTCACAGCCTGTCCTCTCCATTCCAGAATAGGCCCTGGCAACCAAAGAACCAACACCCCACACCATAGTGCAGACCAACCCATGTGCTTTGGGCTCTTTTGTTGTCCTATCCATTCTGGCCTATCCTCTCCATTCCAGAATAGCCTCCGGAAACCAAAGAACCAAGCCCCCACCACGTGACAGTTCAACCCCATCCGTGTGCCAAGGCCTCCTTTGTGATGTCACAGCCTATCCTCTCCATTCCGGAATGGGCCCTGGCAACCAAAGAACCAACACCCTACAACCCCAAAGTGAAGCCCCACCTTTGTGCCATGGGCCCTCTTGTGATGTCATGGCCTATCCCCTCCATTCCAGAATGGGTGCTGGAAACCAAAAAAACAATGTCTCACAGCCCCTAGTGCAGCCCAACCCATGTGCCATGGGCCCCACTGTGATGTCACGGCCTGTCCTCTCCATTCCAGAATGGGCCCTGGCAACCAAAGAACCAACAGCCCACAAGGTCAGAATGCAGCCCCACCCGTGTGCCATGGGCCCCTTTGTGATATCACAACCTATCCTCTCCATGACTGAATTGTCCCTGGAAACCCAAGAACACAGGCTGCACATCTCCATGGTGCATCCCCACCCGTGTGGCATGGGGCCCTTTGTGGTATCACAGCCTTTCCCCCAGGAAAGAAAACCTGGAACCTTTGGGTTTCAGATGCAGTTGGGGGGCCACCCTGGGCACTCCACTGGCCGCAAGAGCTTTCTGGCACTTTTTGTCTGGCAGGAATCTTCAGCTGTGTTCAGTTTGGGCAGTCAGACTGGCAATTTCAGTGCAGGGCTCCTGCAAGCCAAGGACAGCTCTTTACTCCAGGAAAGAAAGCTTAGAGCCTCAAGGTCTCAGGTGCAGCTGGTGGGACACATATTCAATTTGGGGAGTCAGACTGGCAATTTCAGTGCAGGGCTCCTACAAAGTGAATGACAGCCCTTCCCTCCAGGAAAGAAACCCCTTACCCTCGCTCTCTTCTCCTGTTCCTTAAAACACAACCTGCAGGGGAGCTTTCTGGGATCTCTTCTCTTGGGAATTGGGAAGAGAGACCCACTCCCATGTTTAACACCTCAGGCAAAATCACCCTTTGAACACCTTTCCCAACCCTCCCCAACCTTTCCCAAAGCCCAGATTTTACAGGCGTCCTGTAATTATGGCCCAATCTTACCCAAGCCCACAAACCAGGACAGAAACCTCTCAGCCTCATGCTGCCTCCTTCCCAAACTCCTTTGGTACACGCTGCAGGTCCAACGATTCCTCTGCTCTGCCCTGTCGGCGCTGCTTTGTCTCCTCTGGGTCCCCAGAAACCGTCAGCGAAAGCCGGGGAATGAAATCTCTGAGCAGTTGGTTGGGTTCCAGAGGTGACCCTACTTCATTCAGCACTGAAGGGACACAGGAATTGCTCTCTAACACCTGTACATTAGTTCTCAAAACTTTTTACTATTTCTACATTTTAGCAGACAAAAGAATTCCTGTCCATTGGCTTACCAGTTCTCTGCATAAATTCTTATTCTCTCTTCTATTGGCTCTTGATTTCTCACTTTGCACGATGCTTAGTCCACGATTTTTGTCCTTTTCTTGTCTTTTCCCTAGATAGGGAGAGCCTCAGTAACTGTGTCAGTTTTGTCTTGGTCTCTGGTTTCTCTAAGGGTCTTTGTGGTTTAGAAATTCTGCCTTCTTGGTGTCCAGGTCTCAAAAATAGATACCTCTGCCAGGTCTCTGACCCCTGAAGTATGGCAGACCTTAAAGTTTTACTTTGTTCTTCTAACAAATGGCCATGGGCATTAGGTATTGAAATGGGCTGCCCAGGAAGGTGGTGGAGTCCCCGTCCCTGGAGGTGTTTAAGCAAAGACTGGCCATGGCCCTAAGTGCCGTGCTCTGCTTGACGTGCTGGGGATGGGGCGTAGGCTGGACGCCGGTTGATCTCCTAAGTCTTTGCCAACCTCGTGGACTCTGGGCTTCTGTACCATCCCACCCTTTGGGGACAGCGTGCTGGTGGCTCAGAGGCTCTGTCCTTGCCTTGCCTTGCCAATCTGCTGGCTGCCAGGCAAGGGCCTTGTGACATCACAGCCTCTGTGGAACAGCGCGGTGGCTGAAAAGTGTCAGCGCTGCGTCCCCGTGCCCAGAGCCTGGGCAGAAGTCGGCTGGCAGGGACGGGCAGAGACTGTGCAGAGGTGTCAGCTCGTCCCGCAGCAGCACGATGGCCAGCCAGGGCATCTCCTGGCTCCTCAGGCTCTGTGTGCTCCTGCTCTTGCCTGGCCCACTCGAGCCTTGCAGCCATGCCACAGGTGCCATTGCTGAGAAGCGGGGTTTTCCTTGGATGGCCCCTTGCCATAAAAGGCAGGAGAGGCTGGAGAGAGGGGAAGGAGGGGGGTCAGGCTCGTGGGATGGCTTTGGGCCATGAGCCTGAAGCCAGCAAGGCCTCGGGACGAGACGGTGTCAGGTGAGGACTGAGAGCCCCCAGGGAGGAAAGTTGGGCAGGCCCCAAGGCTCCTGGGCCTCTTCCTTGGCAGCCCTTTGGCCAAGGCCCCCAGGCAGAGGTGGGGCTCAGCCCCTGCCCAGCAATGGGGCACAGCCTGAGCCCCAGGGACACCAGAGCCAGGTGGCCTGAGCTCTTCTTCCTACAGCGTCTGCCTGGGGCAGCCCAGCCAGGCCTGAGTCTTTCCAGTAGAGGTCAAGCCCAGCCAGAGAGGGCTCAGCCCTCTAAGGCTGCACTCACTGCAAAGGGAAGAAAACATTGGCCCCGAGGACATCCTGCCCCCAAATGGAGAACTGGAAATGTCAAGAATAAAGAAGTCACACCCCTCCATTGTTCAAGAAATGTTCAGACCTCTTTCCTAAAAGCATCCAGGACTCAGGTCACCCAATTTTCTCTCTGACAAGGGTTTTTCCATGGTTCCCCTCAATTCCCAGCCCACCCAGGATCACTTTTGGGGTCCCAACCCCCACTTTTTCCCCTCTCTCCCACCCCTTACACATCATTCCCCCAATCCCCAGCCCCCTCATGCTCAGTTTGGGGGTCCCACCCTCCCCTTTTCCCCACTCTTCTGACCTCTCCCACCCCTTTCCCATCATCCCCCAATCCTCATTCCCCCTTTTGGGGGGTCCCACTCAGTTTGGGGTCCCACCACCCCTTTTATCCCTTCTGACTCACCGACCCCCCCTTCCCAACACCCCCTCTCACCTGAGAGCTCCTCATCTGCAGTGGGGAGGGCTCCTAGTAACACCAGAGCCCATAAATGTCTCCCCCAAAAACGGGTTAGGTGGGGTCCCGGGTGGACTCTGAGTGGGTTTGGGGGCTCTTTGGGGGGCTGTGGGGTGGTTTAAGGGGGTCCCACCGCATTTTGAGATGCGTTGGATGGCGTGTTGGGGTGCAGATGTCCCCCCAAAGCTCCCCCAAGACAGGGTGATGCAAGGGGGGGGCACAGAGGGGTCCCCATTCCTGATCCATCCTGGAGCGACCACACTGGGGGCAACTGGGATCATACTGGGAGCAGCTGGGCCCCTGCTGGGATCATACTGGGATCATCCTGGGAGTGACTGCAATACTCCTGGGAGTACGTGAGAGGGACTGCAACCGTACTGGGGATGACTGGGATCAAACTGGATTTGTACTGGAAGTGTCTGGAAGTTACAGGGACCATACTGGTGGTGACCGGACTAATAGTGGGATCATACTGGGAGCAACTGGGACCATGCAGGGACAAATGGCATCGTCCAGGCAGTGACTGAAAGTGCCTGGGACCATACTGGACTCAGACTGGGAGTCCCTGAGAGGGAAAGGAACCATCTGGGGGGGCCTGGGAGCAACTGGGACCACCTTGGGGGCAACTGGGATCCTATTGGGAGTGACTGGGAGCAACTGGAAGTGAGTGGGATGACAGTGGGAGTGACCAGGATCATACTGGAATCATCCTGGGAGTGACTGTCAGTGACTGGGATCATACTGGGAGTGACTGGAACTATGCAGGGGGGAAGTGGCAGCAACTGGGATTGTGGCAGGAAATCTGCAGTATATGAGAAAACTGTGGTTTAAACCTGTTTCAAAATGGCTTTTTGTAGTCTCTTTGCTAACTCATGCCTTCTTCTTCCCAACACCCCCCACCACAAGTGTTACCCCATGCAAGAATGTTCTGAGAAGATATCCTGAGGTGTTCTCATTGGCCCCTTTTAACCCCTTCCTATTGGTTGTTAACCCCTTCCTGTAACCTGTAATTGGTTAGTCTGTGAATCCTCCTAAGCCTATAAATGTAACACTCCCAACAATAAAACCTCTCTTGCCTCCTCTCCACACCGGCGTGCTGTCTCTATGCCGGCCATGGGGCTATGTGGGTGGGAGGAGGGGAGGGCACCTCTCCCCTCCAGGCTCAGGACCTGAAGAAACCCCTGATGCTGGAGTTCCCTTTCCCTATCCTTTAAGATGTCGGAATGGTTCCTCAGATGGAAATGGAACTAGAACTGGGTCGCCCCACACCATGGGGGGAAAGAGATCCAGATGGGATCATGCTGGAAGCCAACTGGGGACATACTTGGAGCAACTGGGACCATGCTGGGAGCAACCAGGAGTGACAGGGTGCATACTGGAGGCAACTGGTATAGACTGGGAGTGACTGGGATCGTACTGATGGGAACTGGAACCATCCTGGGCCAAGTGGAAGTCACTACAGGCATCTGCAGGTGAATCCTCTGGGGCACCCGGTCCCGGGGGAGAGGCTGAGGGGACCTGCAGGCAGCCGAGCCCCGCCTTGGCCACAGCCCAGCGAGCCAGGACAGCCCTTGTGGGGCTCTGCAGCTCTGGAGCTGTCAGGGCCAAGGGGCACCACGGGCAGCCCTGGCAGGGCAGGGTTTGTCCCGAGCTGGATGCGCATCGGGGAGAGGAGGCGGCACAAAGGACAGAGGGAGGGGAGGGGAACAGAGAGGGGAGGAAAAGAGAGGGGAGGGGGAATTTTAGAAAGGATAAAGAGGAAAGAAAGACAACAAAAGAAAAATAAGAGAAATAGCCAAGTTTTAATATTCAGTAAATCTGTGAGTCATTGAGAGCTCCCAGGTCAAAGGCAGGTGAAGTGTTTGCAGGGGACAGGAGCCTGTTCAGGGCTCAGAAGCTGCTGCTGTTCAAAGGGAGGAAACACACCGAGGGCTCAGAGCAGAGTTTGTGCTTTGGGGCCTGTATTAGGGAGGGTTCGAAACATACCGAATCTTGAAACCATGACACCGTTAAAAGCTTAACAAAAACCAATATTTATTAGCAAGAGGTGGCCAACAAAACAAACAAACCCAAAAAGGAGGAAGGAGGAGAGAAATAAGCCCCCAGCACGACCTCTCCAGTTACCCAGCTGTTGCCCATAAAGTTTCTTACCAACCTAGCATACCTATAATTACCCAGAGCAGAAGCTGCATCCCTGGAGAGTCAGTAAGTTCACAAACTGGCAGGTGTCCCTGCCAAAAGGCAACGTTGTCCTTGGTGTGAAGTTAGCTGCTTCCAAGAAAGTACTATCTACTTTTATACAATTAACTGAGTGACCACAACCTCCCAGGTGTGGCCAGCACCACCCAGCCCGAGGCCCTCAGTCCCACCTCCCAGTGGGAGTGCATCTCTTCTGCGCACGCGTCAGAACTTTGGAAATCCCCTCATGCACGCGCAGTATGCTTTGGGGGTCTTTCTTAATTGAGTCTGGTGGCGAGCCTTCCTTCCCTCCTCATCACTTTCTCCTTCAAGCAACCTTGGAGCACAATTAGCCAATCACAGAATACCAATTAAAACAGTTTATACACAAGTTCTCCCTCCAAGGACAAATTCACTGTTTTATCAGTGAACTTGGCAGGGAGAATATAAAGTACTGCAAGTGGCTGAGGCCAAACACAGACCAAAAGTATCAGCATAAATTCACTCTAGTACACCCCAATACACTGCCCAGCTTGGATCACCTGGAATGTGGGTCACCAGGTGTCCTAGTTAGAACAGCTAGGACTAGTTCATCACTGGATGGGTGTAACCCATCACTGTGTATTCTATAGCCTTCCATGCCATTTCCCAGAAACTGTTGTCAATAGATTATTAACATCCTCTGCCCAGAGCAGCCTGACTCATCAGGCTACAAACTAGGTGCTAAGAGGCCTGCGAGATAGAGGGCTGGTTTTGGCCTCACGCCCATTGAGGACCCCCCCCCCGCCCTGAGGGAAGTACTGAGCATTCCTGCCTGAACTGGAGAATATATAATCTTGGAGTCTTGGGACTTTTTTAACCACTCGTGGGATCCAGAGGAAGACTGCAGATCACCGCTCTCAACCAGACTGCAGACCACCACCCTCGACCGGACTGCAATCACCACTCTTGACCAGACTGCAACAGCACTCTCACCAACAGGTTTTCCCCCTCTCCCTTTACTTTGGACTCAGGGGGCCCAAAGAACACCACTCTGTTCATGCCCCAGGGTGCTGGGTTATACATTTGGGTTTGTGGGTTAAAAGCAATTGTTTGTCTGTATAATCGTACTTATTGTATTACTTTATTAAATTGTTATTCTGACTTATAATCTCTCTTTTGGGTTGAGTTTATTTTCCCTGCTGGTTTACCTTTAAACCAGCACACCAGGTCACCAGGTCTGTGCCCAACGTGGATCACCTGGAAGATGGGCCACCAGGTCTGTGCCCAACGTGGGTCCCTGTGGATCATCCAATGCCGTTCCTCTCATGGCTGCTGGAGTTGGAGCAGCGGCCGAAGCTCTTCCCGCAGTTGGGGCCACACATAGGGCTTCCATTACTGGTGGGTCCGTTGGTGGGAGGTCAAGGCAGAGCTGTGGGTGAAGCCCTTCCCACACTCCTCGCACTTGTAGGGCCTCTCCCCAGTGTGGATGCGACGGTGGATGATGAGGTGGGAGTTGCGTTTGAAGCCCTTCCTGCAGTCGCTGCAGCGGAAGGGCCTCTCCCCCGTGTGTGTCTGCTCATGCATGAGGAGATGGGAGCTGGTCCTAAACCTCTTCCCACACTTGGGGCACTTGTAGGGCCGTTTCCCACTGTGGATCTTCTGGTGGTGGATCAGGTGGGAGCTCTGGCTGAAGCTCTTCCCACATTCCAAGCACTTGTAGGGCCGTTCCCTGGAGTGCAGGCCCAGGTGGGTGCGGAGGTTGAATCTCCGGTTGAAGCTCTTCCCACATTCCCCACATGTGTAAGGTTGTTCTCCAGTGTGGATGATCTGGTGGCGGATCAGGCAGGACTTCTGGCTGAAGCTGTTCCCACATTTACCACATGTGTAGGGCTTTTCCCCAGTGTGGATCACCTGGTGTCGGAGCAGGTGGGAGCTCCGACTGAAGCTCTTCCCACATTCCCTACACATGTAGGGTTTTTCCCCAGGGTGGATGTGCTGGTGCCTGAGGAGGCTGGTGCTCTTGCTGAAGCTCTTCCCACATTCCAAGCACTTATAGGGCCATTCCCCAGTGTGGATGTGCTGGTGCTTAAAGAGGTTAGTGCTCGTGCTGAAGCTCTTCCCACATTGCAAGCACTTGTAGGGCCTTTCCCCAGTGTGGATGCGACGGTGGGTGCAGAGAGTGGAGCTCTGCCTGAAGCTCTTCCCACACTCCCCACATGTGTAGGGCCGTTCCCCAGTGTGGATGTGCTGGTGCCTGAGGAGGTTGGTGCTCTTGCTGAAGCTCTTCCCACATTCCAAGCACCTGAAGGACTTTTCCCTGCTGGGAGGTTGCTCAGGGACCACCAGTTTGCAGCTCCGGCTCAAGCTCCGGTCACCTTCCCGGCACACGCTAGCTCTTTCCTCCTCAGAGCACCCTGGGCTGGCTTTGGAGCCCTTCCTGCGGGGGCATCTCCGGCCCTTTTCCTCTCCGCTGCCTTCCTGCGCCGGGGAGCCCTTCAAAATTGCCTCTCCCACCAGGCTCTGCCAGGGGG